TCTAATCACAAACTAATACATGTAAACTAAGCAAAAGTTTCAAAGTCAATAGACCATGACTGAGGGGGCAGGGCCAAATATTCTCCATGGAAATGAGATGTGGTAATGCTTATACAACTGAACACCAATTAACATTGGCCTACCACTAATGGTTCCCCTTGAACTGACCTAATCACAAACTAATACATGTTAACTTAGCAAAATTTTCAAAGTCTATAGACCATTACTAAGGGGGCGGAGCCAAATAATCTCCATGGAAATGAGATATGCCAATGCTTATACAATTGCATACCAAATATCATTGACCTACCATTAGTGGTTCCCCATAAATTGACTTAATCACAAACTAATACATGTAAACTATGAAAAGTTTCAAAGTCAATAGACCTTGACTGAGGGGGCAGGGCCAAATAATATCCATGGTAATGAGATGTGCCAATGCTAATACAACTGCATACCAAATATCATTGACCTACCACTAGTGGTTCACCATGACTTAGACCTTATCACAAACTAATACATTGTTGACGACGATGCTGCCGTCGCCAACGCCGCCGACGCCGGAAACAGCATACCTATGTCTCGCTTTTTGACTCCGTCAAGGCGCGACAAAAATAATTCTTCAATATTCAACAGCAAATTGAATTTTTGTTTTATTGCTTCTTCTACAGAATATCTCCAGAAGAAGTCCAGATTCATCTTGTTGGACTCTTCACCAGAAGACATTCTGGAGATGTACAGAAGAGACCAATAAAACACATCCCAGTGGTGGATAAAGAGTGTAGGGCTGAATGATTTTTGTTTCTGCAGATTAAGTACTTTGAGCTTGAATTCAGTTACTGTTATATTTTTCATATCTGATTTTACTGTAATTGTGGAGTTTCTTTTGTTATTCCAATGATCAAAACTAAACAGATCACTCAACACCAAGGATCCAGAAATTTTTTTCACACAATTTCGGTCATTTAGAGATGACTTAAAAGTCAGGGAACTTTTTTCAAACTGTCGAAATTATTCACACTAGATGCATAGCGTCAACGAACTTTTATTGACTGTTTCTTCGCATTTACTTCATAAATTTTCTTACCGTTTTTCTAAAAACATTCAAGAACAGTTTATGGAATGCAACAGTTCAAATTGAAATGATTTTAATGACTCAAATGGTAAATTTTCTTAGACATCGCTAATGTTTCTTTCGATTTTGAAGATGAAATTAAAACCAGATGTTTCACAACAATACTAAAGTACAAGTAATTCCAGATTCATATCCAGGATTCGTTCTGTTTATCAATGGCAGGAATTCACCGGATTTTTTATTTTATTACCTTCATAAGTGTTTGAATATAACAAATAATAGTTGCACTCTTTTAATTTAGCATGAAATCATTTTGCATTTTACAATTAAGCGTATTACATAGTAAATTAAGCACACGTTTGTGTTGTGAAAAATTACTTTTTTCTACGTAAATTAAATCGATGTTTTAATTTTTAAATCAGAATTGACAATTTTCTTTGTTGAAAAGTAATTAAATAATGAAGAAAGTTGTCAAGGAATTTGAATTTCTTTATATAATATCAGTTCTGAGCTTGTGATCACTGTCAGATGTGAATTAAAAACACAGGTAATAAAATGCTCCGCAGGGCGCAGCTTGATACAACCGCAGAGGTCGAACCCTGAACAGTTGGGGGAAGTATGGACACAACATTCAAGCTTGATACAGCTTTGGATTTGGATTGTGATTAAATATTTGACACAGCATAGGTTTCTAACACAGATTGAATGTGGTCTAAGAACTTAAAAATTTTAAATTGGACATTCACCTATTATGGTCCAATATCCAAAATCTAAATACATGGTTAGATTCAGCATATCAAAGAACCCCAAGAATTCAATTTTTGATGAAATCAAACAAAGTTTAATTTCGGACCCTTTTGACCTCAATGTGGACAAAGTTGATAACGGGGCCCAAAAATCAAAAATTTAAATACATGGTTAGATTCAGCATATCAAAGAACCCCATATATTCAATTTTTGTTGAAATCAAACAAAGTTTAATTTTGGACCCCGATTTGGACCAACTTGAAAACTGGGCCCATAATCAAAAATCTAAATACATGTTTAGATTCAGCATATCAAAGAACCCTAAGAATTCAATTTTTGTTAAAATCAAACTAAGTTTAATTTTGGACCCTTTGGACCTTAATGTAGACCAATTTGAAAACGGAACCAAAAATTAAGAATCTAAATACACGGTTAGATTCGGCATATCAAAGAACCCCAAGAATTCAATTTTTGATGAAATCAAACAAAGTTTAATTTCGGACCCTTTTGACCTCAATGTGGACAAAGTTGATAACGGGGCCCAAAAATCAAAAATCTAAATACATGGTTAGATTCAGCATATCAAAGAACCCCATATATTCAATTTTTGTTGAAATCAAACAAAGTTTAATTTTGGACCCCGATTTGGACCAACTTGAAAACTGGGCCCATAATCAAAAATCTAAATACATGTTTAGATTCAGCATATCAAAGACCCCTAAGAATTCAATTTTTGTTAAAATCAAACTAAGTTTAATTTTGGACCCTTTGGACCTTAATGTAGACCAATTTGAAAACGGAACCAAAATTTAAGAATCTAAATACACAGTTAGATTCGGCATATCAAAGAACCCCAATAATTCAATTTTTGATGAAATCAAACAAAGTTTAATTTTGGACCCTTTGGACCTCAATTGGACCAATTTAAAAACGGGGCCCAAAATCCAAAAACTAAATACACGGTTATATTCAGCATATTAAAGAACCCCATGAAATCAAGAATAAAACCCCATTGAAATTGGTCAAGAAATAAGCAATTTATAGGAAGTATCTTCTTTTGCACAATCCTGTGCTATTAAATATTTCTTGCTATTGCGCAATACTGTACAATTGACAATTTCTTGCTATTGCGCAATATTGTGCTATTGGATATTTCTTGCTATTGCGCAATACAGTGCAATTGAAGATTTCTTGCTATTGCGCAATACTGTGCAATTGAAGATTTCTTGCTATTGTGCAATACTGTGCAATTGAAAATTTCTTGCTATTGCACAATACTTATTATATAATAATTTACACATCCTGTTTGGTGTGTATCTCCTACCATATCATTATTATTTGATTTTAAATATAAATCAGAAATAACCAACTTAAAATGGAAAATTTTAAAAGAAAAAAAAAAGGAAAAAAAGAAAAAAAAGGAAAAAAAAATAAATCCCCCCCCAAAATTTTTTGAACCCCCATTATGATTCATCACCCCCAAACTCAATCCCAGCCTTCCCTTTGTGGTATGGTACCTTGCAGTACAATTTCAGAGAGATCCATACACTTGAACACAAGTTATTGTCTGGAAACTAGAAAAAAATGTGTTTTTTGGCCCCTTTTTGGCCCCAAATTCCTAAACGTTTTGGGCAATTACCCCCAAACTCAAACCCAGCTTTCCCTTTGTGATATGGAACCTTGTAGTACAATTTCAGAAAGATCCATACACTTACACACAAGTTATTGTCATGAAACTAGAAAAATGCTTGTTTTTTGCCCCTTTTTTGGCCCCTAATTCCTAAAATTTGGAGGCAATTACCCCCAAAATCAATCCCAGCATTCCTTTAGTGATATGGAACCTTGTGGTACAATATCAGAGAGATCCATACACTAACACACAAGTTATGTCTGGAAGTTACAAAAATGCTTATTTTTGGCCCCTTTTTGGCCCCTAATTCCTTTACTGTTATTACCATAACCCCCAAAATCAATCCCAACCTTCCTTTTGTGGTATTGAACCTTGTAGTAAAATTTCATAAAGATCCATTCACTTAAACTAAAGTTAGAGTGCGAAAACCAATGTGTCTTCGGACGACGCCGGACGACGCCGACGACGACGACGACGGACGACGACGACGCCAACGTCATACCAATATACGACCACAAAAATTTTTTTGCGGTCGTATAAAAAGTGATTAGCAATCATTACCCCATATTTCCCAGAGCATTAATATGGTTATTAGGAGGGCTCTCAGGATTATCACACTATACTGGAGTGGCAGTTTTATTACAGGAAAGGGATTAAAAACAAAAGATATAAGATATAAGAGCAAAATGGTGATTAAGAAACCCAATCTCAATGAAATGACCGAAATTATTTCTGTAAAAAAATAAATGAGGAACGTGTCCATGGGACACAGATGATGCCCCTGCTTGCATATCATATAAAGTTATAAAATGACAGAACTGAAGAACGGTAAATGTGACGCTACCCAAATTTGTACTTGATCTTAGTTTTGTGGAAATAAGTAGTGTGTATAAGTTTCATAACATTGGTTGAGGCAAACTTAAGTTAGAGAACGGAAACGAAAAATTCAGCAATTTGTCCATTTGTAATGGGGCATAACTCTAGAACAGTAAAAGTGACACCACCAAAATTCAAACTTGATCTGTATTTTGTGGTATTAGCATTGTGTATAAGTTTCATAACATTTGGTTGAGGCTAACTTAAGTTAGAGAACGGCAACGAAAAATTCAGCGATTTTTCCATTTGTAAACGGGCATAACTCTAGAACAGTTTAAGTGACACCACCAAAATTCAACCTTGATCTGTATTTTGTGGTAGTAAGCAATGTGTATAAGTTTCAAAACAATTGGTTAAGGCAAACTAAAGTTAGAGAACGGAAACGAAAAAATTAAGCAATTTTTCCATTTGTAAAGGGGCATAACTCTATGTTTAAGTCAGGCACCTCATCAGACATTGCCTTAAGTTTAACCTTAATGGTGTTTCCTAAGGGAAATTAGAATTAATAGCAGATCTTTTTGAATCTTTGTTAAATTTGTTCATAAATTTTCTAGAGTTTGGACCATTAAAGCTGGAAATATGGTATAAGTTTACAGTGACTTATAGGGGTCTCTCGTTTTTTTCTGTGTGTTGTTGGATTGCTAACTCTTGAACACTTGTACATTTTTGTACCTTAATAAAATATTTTTTCCATGTAGAGTTATCTCCCTGTTCTCGATCATCATCATCTCCAAGTCCTCCAGTAAACTTTTTCATAGCTTGTAAAACACACCTGACATCATTTCCTTCTTTGATTGAAATAAAACAGTTTCCTCTTGCCACCTGGAAAAATATAACTTGTGTGTAACACAGAGACCAAGTACTATAAAGGAATTAGAAAACAAACAAAGCTCTTAATACATGAATAAATTTTGGGGATTTTACAATAATTGAAAACAAAACTCAATGTTTATAAAAAATAGTAAAGAGACAATGTAAACAAAAGTGTACACGTGAAATGTCTCGCCTGTTTTACTTATCATTGAAATTATGTTAAAAGCCTGTAACATGAAGGTTTTACTACAAGTATCACATAAACTTAACATACTCAATGTTCTATGATAATGAGCTCATGGTCAGATGAACCAGTCCAGACAGACATGTACACCTAACAATCATTCCTTACACCAAATATAGTTGACCTGTTGCTTATAGTATCTGATAAACTGACAAAATTACAATAAAATGCTCCGCTGGGCGCAGCTTGGTATGACCGCAGAGGTCGAACCCTGAACAGTTGGGGCAAGTATGGACACAACATTCAAGCTTGATACAGCACTGAATTTGGATTGTGATTAAATATTTGACACAGCATAGGTTTCTGACAAAGAATGAATGTGGTCTAAGAACTTAAAATTTTTTAATTTACCTATTCAAACCGTATTATTATTATTTGCTTTTATATATAAATCAGAAATAACCAATTTAAAATGGAAAATTTTAAAGAAAAAAAAAGGAAAAAAAAAATCCCCCCCCAATTTTTTGAACCCCCTTATGATTCATCACCCCCAAACTCAATCCCAGCCTTCCCTTTGTGGTATGGTACCTTGCAGTACAATTTCAGAGAGATCCATACACTTGAACACAAGTTATTGTCTGGAAACTAGAAAAAGGCTTATTTTTGGCCCCTATTTGGCCCCTTATTCCTAAACATTTTGGGCAATTACCCCCAAACTCAATTCCAGCTTTTCCTTTGTGATATGGAACCTTGTAGTACAATTTCATAAAGATCCATACACTTACACACAAGTTATTGTCCTGAAACTAGAAAAATGCTTGTTTTTTCCCCCTTTTTGGCCCCTTATTCCTAAAATTTTGAGGCAATTACCCCCAAAATCAATCCCAGCCTTCCCTTTGTGGTATGGTACCTTGCAATACAATTTCAGAGAGATCCATTCACTTGAACACAAGTAATTGTCTGGAAACTAGAAAAATGCTTATTTTTGGCCCCTTTTTGGCCCCTTATTCCTAAACATTTTGGGCAATTACCCCCAAACTCAATTCCAGCTTTTCCTTTGTGATATGGAACTTTGTAGTACAATTTCAGAAAGATCCATACACTTACACACAAGTTATTGTCATGAAACTAGAAAAATGCTTGTTTTTTGCCCCTTTTTTGGCCCCTAATTCCTAAAATTTTGGAGGCAATTACCCCCAAAATCAAACCCAGCCTTCCCTTTGTGATATGGAACCTTGTGGTACAATGTCAGAGAGATCCATACACTAACACACAAGTTATGTCTGGAAGTTACAAAAATGCTTATTTTTGGCCCATTTTTGACCCCTAATTCCTTAACTGTTGGTACCATAACCCCCAAAATCAATCCCAACCTTATAAAAACTTATCATTGACCAATGAATCATGAAAATGAGGTTAAGGTCAGATAATACCTGCCAGACAGACATGTACACCTTACAATTGTTCCATACATCAAACATAGCTGACATATTGCTATTAGTATTTGAAAAACTGACCAAAACACAAAACCTACCATTGAGCAATGAACCATGAAAATCAGGTCAAGGTCAGATGATAACGGCTTGACAGACATGTACACCTTACATTCATTCCAAACACCTAATATAAATGACCTATTTATTGCTTATAGTCCTTGAAAACAGACAAAAACTTAACATTGACCAATTAACCATGAAAATGAGGTTGATGTCAAGGTCAGATGAAACCTGCCAGACTGACATGTACTCCTTACAATCATTCCATACACCATACATTGTAGTTGACTAAATGCAAGGGTTGGTAAAATGATCAGACACAAAAGATTAAAATAAAACTGAAACCTTTTTTCTCAGCTCTTCATTGTTGTCATACAGTTCATCATCTGGTTTCCTTCCAGCAAAGACTTTGATATCTATTATCTCCCCCTCCTTTCCATTTGGCAATACACCTATTGGAATGTCTGCATTTATCACTTTCAGATACTTCTGCTGCCTAGCCCATTTGAGCCACCTGAAATAAACATAGAGTATCCATCTCAAAATTGTTTTTCTTTTTCACTATCTAGTCTTCAATACAAAAAGAAACTTGTCATCAAAGCTTTTGCCATAAGAGTTAAAACTTAAAAGACTAATACATGTAGTACCAGTAAGATTGAAGTACAAAGTCAAGTTACTAGTATACTAGTTACTATAGGGGATCTGCTGAATCCTGTTTTTACCTGCTGTTGTGAGTGTAAAAGTGTTGAATGCCAAGAAAATCTATGCACATTTATCAGTAAAATACAGAAACTCTTAACTATGAAGAAGCACCTGACCTAGATTTTCATATTTTCATGTTATCAAGTTCGACAGTGTAATAAAAGTTTTAAAATCTTTTACCACAGACTTTATATTTATCTTTTTAATACTGGTTAATGAAATCATAATACAGTGTCTTTTGGCTGGTCATTATCGTGTGAATAGAAAATAAGATCAGAAATATAGTTATTAATTATTATAAAGCCAAGCGAGTAAAGTAAAAACACTGATCTATCATTTACCTAAATGTTGACTGCAAAAAAACACCTGAAGAATATTTATTAATGAACATTTAAACTGGGAAAATTCTTGATTTTGAAGAAGCTTCTGTTAAAATTTCATAAATTTCACAAATGTTTGAAAAGGTTATGATGTTTTAAAAACTTTAAACCTAAATTGTATCTAAATGTTAACTGCCAAAAGTCCATTTATTAGCAAAATATGGAAAAATGAAAAAAAATATACTCTCAAATTTTGCTCAAAATGCTGTTTCTTAAATCATGAAAAATGTCAGAAGTTTCATAAAAATTCATGAAGGTTTGACAAAGTTATTATTGTCTTAAAAACTTTAACTGCAGACTGAATCTAAAGTCTGACTGACAACATGAAAACCCACTGAGGCTGACAAAGGAATCTAGGATGCTTATGTCTATCCTGCACAACTTTCGTAATTGGTGAAACAAAAATGATTAAATGTTTATCACAACTTTCGTCATTGGTGAAACAAAATTGATTAAATGTTTATCCCTGCCATATTTTTGTATGTGCCTATCCAAATCCTGAAGGGGATAAATCAGTTTTAGATTTTTAGTGAACATTACCCCTTTGGTGGACAAAATACAGATTACTGTGATTCTAAGCACAAGTTTGTTTTTCTCTATCGTTAACTTGTTTAAGCACTTGCGTTATGTTTTGCAGGTTTACTTAACATACTTTACTGAAAAGAGTATGTAATGTTTAAAGTCAATGATAAAGTATGAGTGTGTTTTACTGAGTTATAATGCTTTGCTTTGTACATTTGAATGCAATTGGCAAAGATATAAAAAAAAAATATTCAGGAAACAACACATGAATAATCAGTATTTTTTATGGAGATACAAAACTGTTTCCATCATTAATTCAACTGAAATTTAAAAAAAGTAGGTGATAACTAAGGCTACCTTTTGGACATGTTGGACCCAAATTACAACAGTACAGTACAATGATTACCTATTTGATGTTTCTTTGACGTCTGTTGTTTTTTTAATGTTCTGTAAAAGGTATATAATATCGTTTGCCAACTTATTCCCATCTAATTTCTTTGTTAAATCAATTATTGTATCGTGAATGAAATCAGAGTCTTGTTCAGCTGTCCCAGATGCCATATTAGCCTCTTTTAAGTTGTGGTGTCTGGTATCCGGTCGTTCCGTCCCCAAACCGATCCGGCCCCAAGTCGATCCGGCCCAAAGTCGATCCGTCCCAAGTCGATCCGGCCCACGTCGATCCGTCCCTACGTCGATCCGGCCCCATAATAAAATATGAATTATAAGCTATATTGACTTTGGAGGATTTTGTGACAAATTTTAACAGTATAAATGGATGTCGTCAGATGTATTATGTATTTGACATATCGTTCAAACTTTGTCGGTCTGCCTGACATGTTAAACTAAAAGTATTCGATTAGTCAAATGAGTCTCTAGTCTCAAAAACTTTTAACAATGGTTGGTCACATACCACACAAGGAAAAGCCATTGTGATATTAAAAGCAAACGCATTCTGTCTCCTCTTTTATAGAAAGGATTCGGCAAATCAAACAACATTTCTCAATTTGAGAAGTTTTAAGAACTTAACACAAAAACAAAGTGTGTATGTATCAGCTTGGGGATCGGCTTGTACCGTTGTGCATGTAACTATTTGTTATTACACAGGATGAAAGACTTGTTAAGATCACAGTCAATTGGTCAAAAGAAATGCGAATTACTGCTGATTAATGTTGATTGTACTAAATTCTGTTATATACGTTTTTATTATAATTATACCCAATAATCTTGAAAACTTGTAATGAAAACATAATCAACATAGTTGTTTTAAACTCATCTAAAGAAAATATTTGTCAAAGGCCATTTTGTTTTACCGTACACCTTTTACATTATAATAAAATTCATAAACATTTATGAATTACAATTAATATATATCTTTATTTTCATTCCTTATAAATATATTTTTTTATTGGGCCGGATCGACTTTAAATATGGGCCGGATCGACGTTGGGCCGGATCGACGTGGGACGGATCGACTTGGGCCGGATCGACGTGGGGCCGGATCGACATGAAAGCGTGGTGTCTTTTGTGCTTCTGTTTCCTGTGATTTTAGTTAAATATTAAACTATTGTGTCACCATTTAAGGCATTTTCCCCCAATATTTCATCAGAATGAAGAAAGAATGTCACACAGTTGCGAAAAGGAAATATATTGTGAAACCAAGGATGAAATTTCTACCTCCAAATTAAGAGAGTTCTTGTGGTGTACACCATCGGTGGTGCGCCTGACAGAGGCAAAACATACAGAATAGGTAAGAGGCAACAGAAGGGTATCGGGTCCGTTCGCGCCCAATACACGTTCGCACCCTACCCGTTCGCACCCCACACGTTCGCCCCCTAGGTCCGTTCGCACCCTACACGTTCGCATCCTTTTTTTATTCAAAAACCTGAAAATTTTTTAGATGTTTTGTAAAATATTTTTATTTTCATAAATAAAAATTCGGGAATTTTTAAATGAAATATTGTTTTAAATTGATTTGATGATTAATTATTAAATGTTAATTATGTATGATTACTGCTAATTGGTATTTATACACAGCCTAATATGATATATATATATATATATAAATTTGTTTTACATGCACACGTATAAAAATTGCGGTTTTTATCCAACGCAATCATAGGTTTGAACGTTGTTTTCAATTTAGACTTGGATATATATAGAGCAATACACTTACCGAAACATGATTAAAAATTATTCAACACAAAACTAAAATACTGGTCGTCAGAATCTCACTTTATTTAAAAACAATGAAAAAAAATGTTAATAGCAATACATTTACCATTTTCCATGACACAAAAAAAACCTTGTCAGAATCTCACTTTATTTAGAAACAATGAAAAAATATATATTTATAGCAATACACTTACCAAAACTCGTTTACAAATTATTAAACACAAAACCAATAAAAATTGGGCGCGAACGTGTAGGGTGCGAACGTGTAGGGTGCGAAAGTGAAAGGGGGCGAACGTGCATGGGGGCGAACGTGATTGGGCGCGAACGGACCCGGATTCCAACAGAAGTACCTAAAATAAGAATTATGGTCCGTTCGCCCTAATACCTGCTCGTATAAGCTGGGACTAATATACTATCAATATATCATATTATGTCCCAGGTATAATCAAGTACAAAGGAGAAACTACAATTGAGATAATCATTTTACAACAGAAGATTAAAGATTGCTCGCCTTTTAAAATACCTTAATAAATAACAAGAGGCTGTCATATTGACAGCAAACCGGATTTTCCTGCCGCAATGATATTTGCAAATCTGGACCTAAGCTGGTTCTCGGCTGACTACTACACCTTGTTCATAGTTTGTTTGAGTGTAGCGTAATACAAGCGGATTCCAATTTAATCTGGACCCCCCAAATAGGATCAAGTAGAAAAAAAATGTTTTTTTTTGTAGGGTTCAGAAATGGAAAGGCCAAAATCAATCTAAGTATCAATTTTTGCTACTTAAAGGTCTACAGTTCAACAACGATAAAAGCTAAAATCGTGAAAATCGAACTTGACCTTCATTTTGTCAGGGAACTTTGAAAAGATTTCGTCAAAGCGTTTTCAAGTTTTGCCGCACGGACATTGTTTGGCAGCCGCCCGGCCGCCGTACATCACTAAATTGAGTAACCGATATTTTCCTTTGGAAATCCGGTTAAAAATAAGTTCAAAGGCTTTCGAGACGTTTCGGCCGTACAACCAGTTCGGCCACATGTTGTTTCGGCCACAGTACCAGTTCGGCCACAGTCGTTACGGCCACACGTTTTCATATTGTTCTAATATAAATATATGCATTTTGAAAAGGAATATTACTTAACAAAAAGCCAAAAAGTTTTGTCACGAAATGTGTATCTGCTCTGAAACGACATGACACAAGACTTTCTCATGTCACACATGAATAAGACACTAACCAAGGATTTGTCTCACTATACAAATCCTTGCACTAACCAGAGACATATAATACAATTGTATTATATGCCTCTGCACTAACTTAAGGTTTTCATTTGCTTGGATGATATATTTTTGTTATAACAGAGAAGAGAAAAATAACAATATGTCATTTGTGGAGGAAAGAAAGAATACACATTAGAAAAATCGAATCAATTATCATTTACCCATTTTTTATCCTCCTTTTTATAGTTATCTTGTTTGGTATTTTCTCAACAATTACTTGACAAAAGCATAACCAATACTTTAGATATACTAGTACATCATAGAAATGATAATCAATACTTTAGATAACTAGTACATCATAGAAATGATAATCAACGTAAATCATATTGATTAATTTGTGAATTAACGTCTGCTTCTAAAATACAATTATACTTTCCAACTTTATAACAATAAAAACTATGACCGAAACGACTTTAAAAAATATGTCCGAATCGACTGTGGCGAACTGGCAGTGTACCCGAAACGTCTTGCATCGGTTCAAAGTTCTTTAATATCTATTTACAGGCACGGAAAAAATGATTGATTGATGTTTTTAATGCCACTTTCATCAGTATTGAGCAATTTCGTGGACGGGTCGGTTTTTATCGATGGATGAAGCCGGAATGTCCGGAGAGAACCACCGACCTTCGGTAGGAAAACTGACAATCCTTATCAATTAAGATTTGATTTAATTTCCATCTATATGTATTGTCAGATACATATACAATAATTATGTGTTTCTGGTACTGTGTATTGTTGTCAATATATATATATATGTTCTTTCGGGGGTATCTGTGGCCGGGGCCTCGGTGGCCGAGTGGTCTAAGTAGTCGAACTACTGCATCACTAGATTTATATTTTCCAACTTTATAACAATAAAAACTATGGCCCGGCCACAGATACCCCCGAAAGAACATATTGACAACAATACACAGTACCAGAAACACATAATTATTGTATTATATGTATCTGACAATACATATAGATGGAAATTAAATCAAATCTTAAAATATTTTAGAAGCAGACGTTAATTCACAAATCAATCATTACTTTTGATCCTATCAGAATCGAAAGAAGGTCTTCAAAACAGTTTAAATAATGTTAAATTATATTGCAACAAATGGCAACACTCTTTAAATACAAATAAAACAAAATCCATGATTTTCAGTCAGTCCAAACAAAATGGTGAAACATCACATATTTACTATGAGAATGAAGTCATAGAGAGCGTATCAGAATATTCATTTTTGGGAATGTTGATAAAATGTAATGGAAATTTATCACAAAGTACTTTAGAGCTGACAAATCCTATAGCAAATAATCTTTTTGATTCTTTAGTGAAACCAATTATGACCTAGCTATAATCATCAGAAGTAACATATTTGGATACATATATTTTTCTTTTCATAGAGCCAAAAACAGAGCCTTATCTTCAGGAAAATAAATTAATCAACTTGATTTTACAGACAAAACCCCTATTGAAAATATGCATCTTAAATTTTGTAAATCTACTCTAGGAATAAGAAAAAAATGCATCCAATTTAGGAGCAAGAGTTGAATTGGGAAGATTGCCTATAGAATGTTTTATCAAAACACAAACCCTTTTATATTTAGCTAGACTATATAATAATAATATTAATCCATTGATAAAGGACGCTTTTTCTCTAGCACAGTCTCTAGATTTGACTGGAACTTATTCATGGTATACATATGCAAAAAATATTGTTGAAGAGACAAATATTGACCTTAATATTCTTTCTACTTGTAAGGACATAAAAGATGTAAATAAAATAAAAAACGATATAAAAGTTAAAAATGAAAAATAGATATGAAGATTTAATTGAAACTAAATTTGAAATCATTGATGATAAAAGTAAAATTTATCTATATAAAAAACTTAAAAAAGATTGCAAACTAGAATCTTATCTAAATATATCTAATTTTCAGATAAGGAGATTGATCACTAAATTTAGACTAAGTGATCACTCCCTCTTAATTGAAAAGGGGAGATATTTTAAAATCCCAAGAGAGGAACGACTTTGTCCTAAATGTAAAATACTAGAGGAGGAGAAACATTTTTTACTCTATTGTGATTATAATAAAACACTAAGAAATGCCTTTTTTGAACACATATTTAATGAAAATAATAACTTTAATAATTT